TATTTTTAATATATATTTTTTTTCAATAATATATTGAAAGTGTTACCCATATATATATATATAGAGAGATAGATAGATAGATAGATAGATAGATAAGCACCTTCAGTTAAAATATATTTTATATATATATTAACATTGTCATAACCATTACCATGCTAAAATCTTCAGAGAGTTGTCATGATTGAAATATATATCGAAATATATTTTTTATATATTTTTTTTTTCAATAATATATTGAAAGTGTTACCATATATATATATATAGAGATAGATAGATAGATAGATAGATAGATAGATAGATAGATAGTGTTACTGTGGACAGGAAAAAGTTAGTCAATCACAGCACTGAGCGTTTTGAAATTAAATGTGCTTCACAGAGTGTGAAAATTAGATGGAAATGATCATTTTTACATATATTGGCCTTTTTTTGGTGCAAAATGAGAAACATAATATACAAATCTAAAACTGCATTTTTATGGCCCCTTTTAAAACTGTGTACATTTTAATTTGATTGTCAAGATGTACAAGATGTGTAATCACGCAATTCATTATGCTGCATTTTCTGTGTACATGACAAACATGAGAAATAAAACTGAAATGTGATCACTGAGAAAACCAACCAGTCACACATCTTTACAAAGATCCCTCCTCATGAAGTTATATCTTTCTTCACAGGCTCATTTACCTGAACACCAACCAGAACAGGTGAGTTTAGTGCAGTTACACAACATCTGAAATGTGTTTGTCTAGGTGTTATTCTCTTGATTTGGGAAGTTTACATTGCTGACATTTATTCATTTCTTTTTTACTTTTTTAAGTTGCAAACCGCATATAATAGAAAGAGTCATCACCAAGTAAGTAATGTAATGCATATACGTAAACACCTCACTTTAACACACGCACAAAAAATGCTCATGTAACAAGGTACAATTTTTGCATTATTTCTGAGAGTGTACATACAGTACATGCTTATACACATCAACTTAAAACACTCACACCATATGATTAAATTCAGATGAGTAAGAGTTTGACTCTGTTATTATCAGGGCAAAGTGGAAGCTTAAGAACTCTGGATTGTGCTCATCGCTGGGGTATGTAAAACTTCATCTTCTTAAAAGAGACTTTTTAAAGTTGATCCTTAATGACATAAGACAAAAATATTCTTGGTTCATGGTTATTTTTATTGTTCTGATCAGATGACTAGTGAGAGATGGAAATAGATAAACTGGGAAACCCATGTTTTAAATTTGTATTAACTCTGTATGTACCGATAAAATGACTGTTGTTCTTTCTGCTTATTCATGTGTATTGCAGGTTTTTGTACAACCAGCCCAGTGCGCTGGTAAGGTGAGTATTATGTTTTTAGCATCAACCTGTATTAGCCCATTTACACTCATGAATAGAATGATTACAACACTGTTTGTGTGTTTTAATGAAGTCGGATAGATGTTGCTTCTGTAACGTCATGGTTAGCCCCAATCATTTGGGAGGGAACCTTTGACCCCACACTGATCGACTTTATCTACAAACAACAGAATCTCACCATAGCGACCACAGTCTTCGCTTTGGGAAAGTGAGTTCCTCATGATACCTCTCATCTTGTATCAGTATTTTTCATTTGTTTCTCCTCCTCTGTTTTTCTTTGCTTCTGGAAACAGTAATGATTAAATGATAAATAAATTAATTATATCTCCCTGTATTTGTTTTCTCTGTTTGTTAGATACACACTTTTTCTCAAAGAGTTTCTGGAGTCAGCAGAGCAGCATTACTTTGTTGGATTTCGAGTGAATTACTACTTGTTTACGGATCTACCAGAAGAAGTCCCTGAAGTTAAGATGGGTGAAAACCATAGTTTGACAGTTCGAAAGGTTCCAAGTATGAACAGATGGCAGGATATCAGTATGGGCAGGATGGAAATACTGGAGAAACTAATAGAGAATGAACTGGCCAGTGAGGCCGACTATATTTTCTGCCTTGACGTAGATACAAAGTTCTATAGCCGCTGGGGTGTGGAGTCTTTGGGTCGTCTGGTTGGTGTGATACATCCTTGGTTCTTTGATGCTCCAAGGGATCAGTTCACATATGAGCGTAGACCAGAGTCTCAAGCATACATTCCAGCTGGAGAGGGTGATTATTATTTTACTGGCGCTGCATTTGGTGGCTCACTGGAGGATGTACATCATCTCACCAAAACCTGCCGGGAGCAGATGAACATTGATATTGCAAACTCCATTGAGGCGATATGGCACGAGGAGTCTCACTTGAACAAGTATTTCCTTTATAACAAACCCAGTAAACTGCTTTCACCTGAATATCTGTGGCGGGACATCAATGCCGGGGCGGCCCAAATAAAAGTAGTTCGCTTCTCTCATGTAGCTAAAAACAATGCAGAAGTGCGTCCAAATGTGTAGCACCTGTTGCCAGTATTGAGCTACACTGACATGGTGTGTTCTCGCAGGCCTCCCACACTGTGAATCTGTAAACAGGTAATATTGACAACATAGAAGTCTACAGTTGCCACCAACAAATGGATAATCAGAGACATTTACAGATATTTATGAGCACAAAGTGGCATCAGGAACTAAATCTGCCAAAGTAATCTTGAAGAAACACTCACAATATGCTATAAATACTCTTGAGTTTATTATCCAACAAAACACCATTTAAATGTGTATTGAAAGCACTGACAACCCTTTGTTTGACCTCTTCTTTAAAGAGAGTCAAGGGAGGAAGTTTAGGGTGGAAGTCAGGTAGATACAGGGTCTGAAGTAAAAACCAATGGTGAACTTTAATTGGTATTTTCTAGCTACTACATAAATATGATTTTACTTTTTAGCATAATCTCATTAATATTCATAGTAATTTGCACACATGGTTGCACCTGCCTTTTTGTATGTTTGGGTATACACTGAAACAATGTATGACATGTGACATATTGACACCATAAAAATATGTATGTATGCACAGCTTTTATAACATCAGAATCTTTAAAAATATTTTATATATTTATATTATTTATATAAATATATTATGAAATGTTTTAATTCTGTTTGTATTTGTATAAATAAATGTGTTTATGAATATACACTTTAACATAAATAAACACATTATTGGCTATTGTATAGATACCAATAACACACTAAACATAACAGCTTTTCAACAATATCAAAAAACATAATGGTTAGATAAATGTGAAGTAACACGAATGAAGCATGCTGAATTTTGATGAATAAAAGTTATGGCATTGGACATATTTTATGTCAATGATTAAATACGAAACATAAATCCATACACTGTTTGAACTATTTCAATATTCATTGAACCTATAAAACGATTCATAGGGATTTGTGCATCTCTAAAGCTATGGTAATAATTCATTCAAATATACAAAGTCTATGCAAATGTACAAAAATGTATTTGTTCGTAAACCACAGTTTGTGTATAATACGAATGAGGTCAAGTTGCAAGTTGATGGGTTTTTAGATATTACTGTCAAATTCTGAATGTATGTATACTGTTTTTTGTTAGTTTTTTTATTTTGCTTGTTTTTTGCCATTTGCATTTTTTTTCTACCACTCTGTACTCAGCAAAATTAAACAAAAGAAAACTAAACAAAACAAATAACATTTGGGAAAACTAGTATGAGCATTGATTGTATGCTATTGAATACTAAGAAATGATACTTTCACTGATGCAAACACTCATACGTTTTTCTCTTTGTATATTTCACTTATTCCTGTTTTCTTGTGTTGCTTCTTGTAGAGAAAAACGTTTTTGAAGACAAAAAACGTTTTGGTAGAAGGGAAAACGTTTTGGGTTTTTTTTTTTGAAGAGGAAAAAAATAGTCTAATAGAAAAGAAATCTTAGGACATAGGCTCATATCAAATGTATAAACTAACAGCAAATCTCACACAAAAACATTTTTCAAAGGGTCCATAAAATGGGAAATAACATCATATTTTCATTGTAGGCCTATTATACTTACCAGTCCAAAAAGAGCACGCACTTACTACCACTGCAAAAACATCTCGTTATAAAATCATCCCTGTCTTGAAATCACGACGTTGTACTCATTTGCATGTTCCGCACACGTCATCGCACACCGTGCTCAGACAGATCGCTTGAGGTAGCCACTGAAAGTTACAGGTGGCTGCCACATGGTTGAAAGATTAAGATAACGCGTAAATTCCTCACACTTTGTTGTAGGAAAAACAGCATCTCCTCACGGTTATCGACAGATCCCAACGTTAGGAATACGTGGCTAAAACTGATTTTGAACGATGTGCTGTGATCAATGATTGTTATATGCAAGGATGCATGTAGGCTACACCCGTTCTTTGTAGAAAATGCGTTTGTTGCCGTTTTTGCATTAGGACAGTGACTAAATGGTGAACTTTACATTGTTCCTTGTAAGAGCACGAAATTCACCTTTTATTCAAAGTATAATTACATAACTCCCCCCCACAAAATACGACTTAAAACGTACCGAAATGGAATTAAAACTAGAACCCCGCTCGTTCAAAAAATCTTGTTTAATTATGACTTATATTGGATTGTTTGTTTTTTTTTAGCAACAGAGAGATCTAGTCATGAGTGGCTGTGGGGGAAGTTATCTAAAATTATTGTAAAATTAACAGTCTTTATCTATCAACTGCTACTAGTTATAAATTCATTTCATGAATACTCTTTTGCTGGTCTTCCCAGTTTACTGAGAAGTTTAGATTTTAATTGACGTTGACATGTTTGTGGTTGAACATGAGTATGGGCTTGTCAAACAAGGTGTTAAGACACAGAACCAATTCGGCATTGTGTAGCACCTGCTTTATACTCCATGTGGAATTTCCTTCTAAAAGCCAGTTAGACTACTCTGGTGTGCTGAAGGATGAGGATCAGTCATTGGCTGTTGGGTTGTTGTGGTTGTTGTTATGGTTGTGTCTTAATGTAAGGCCCCACCCTTGTCAGGATGTGTTTGACTTTCAAATCTCTTCCGTAAATCTCTTTCATGCCCAATACTTCACTCTCTTTTTCCAGTTCAGTCCACCAAGTGAGTACGGTCACAAGACCAAGCTGATATTACAATAATGCGATTCCGTCAGATTTTTCATTTCTTCCTTCTTGGAATGTTTGTTGGCTTGTCACTGAGTGGGTATGTATAAACTTTTTAAAAATATGTAGCTGATTTACTTACACGTTTGGAATTGGAATGTTAAGTGAATATCGGTTGTTAATCTGTTTATGTATTGATATAAATGCTGCCAATGTCGCTTTATGTAATCAGCTAATCACATGGCAGCAACTCAATGTATGTAGGCATATAAACAGGGTTGGGAAGGTTACAGAATGTAACACAGTTTAAATTAATTACTTAAATAGGTTAATTAAGTCAGGAGTGTCCAATCCTGCTCACTGTTCTGTAGAGTTTAGCTCCAAGTCTACCCCGATTAAACATGCTGGAACCAGCTAATCAATTTTCTTGGCATACTACAAACTTCCAGGCAGGTGTGTTGAGGCAGGTTGGAGCTAAACTCTGAAAGACAGTGGCCATTCAGGACTGAGAACACCTGATCTAATTATTTAGAATCCTTAAGGCAGGGGTTCATTTACAGTCATGCTGATTTTCAGGAAACAGCACTCTTCTTCCTTTTATATATTAAAAAAACAAAACCAAGAGCTCATATACACAAATGTCACTGGCTCTGTGTGAAAAAATGTTCTCACGTGAGAGCACGTCAATTCCATGAGAGATCAACTTACCTCAAGAGGCTTTTTCACATTACATGTCGAATCCTTTGAAGCTGATACAAGTTAGATATAAAACTGTCTTTGTATTTCCATGGCAAAAATCACGCGCATGGCTTTCTGATTCCCCCTGCAGTTTTGTTAGTCCTGACTAGCTTGTACACTCTGAAGGTTGCTAATTGAACAGGCTGCCCATATTTTTATTTATTTATTTTCAGAGTTGAGTTGGAGACTCACCAAATGCCTCATTGGTTAAAAATTCCCAAACAGTTTACATGAATATTAAATGAAATAAATGACATTAAAATGCAGAGTAATCATTTAGGTAATCTTAAATGCGTTTTGGATGTACTGTATACTTTATTTGATTACCACCCATTTAAAATGCAGTTACTCATATTTCTTATTTTAAATGCGTAAGGACATTATGTGTATTCCATTACTCCATGTATCCTGTGCATACAAATAACATGACACGTCTTACACAGTCTTGTGTAAACCCAAACACAACAAACATGCTCTATATGCTCTCTAAGCCAGATATTAAAAGCCAAGTGGTTACGTAAAATATGTAAGCTTTAATGGTGCTTATTGGTGAGACCCAGCGAGTTTTTAAAGCTTTGATGGGTTTCCTGGAGGATAATGGATACAAATGTTTTTTTTATTTAATTTTTTCTACTCAAATGTTGGATTGAGCCATTTTCCATGCCCACTGTGTTTTATCACACAGCACAATGCCACAGATGTCGCAAGTTTTGAGGGAGCAAGCAATTAGCATGCTGACTGCAGGAATGTCCACCAGCGCTGTAGCCCGTGAATTGAATGTTCATTTCTCTACCATAAGCCGTCTCCAAAGGCATTTCAGAGAATTTGGCAGTACATCTATGTATGTATGTATGTGTGTATATATATATATATATATATATATATATATAATATATATACAGTATATAGTGCATATTAGTACCTTATTAGTAATATGTACGCTTAATTTAGTAATATACTATTATAGTACTCTTATAGTACTATTATGTATTCTTTAGGAGTAAAGAAGGTTGTATGACAAGCTGTTGTACCCCTAAAGTACAAATTTAAAACATTTTCTTCTGAGAGTGAATATTCATAGAATGTGGCAAAGATTTTAAAGCTTTAAAGGCACAAATTATGTATATTATATAGCTAAACATACAAAATCTAAAGACAACATCACATTGGAATGGAAGTCCTGCTGAAATGAACTGTTCTATTAGCTGAACCAGCCTGAAGCATAGTTTATGATAATTTTGTGGTCCGATCTTTTGACTGAATACTGAAATATGTTACTGAAACTGTTACAAAGAGTTTCTTTTTTTTTCCATTCAAAAAGATAAGTTGACCAACTTTTCTGTATGAGGTTGACAAACAGAATTTTCAGCGCCTCATTTGCTGATGAGGAAAAATACCTAAAATTATTTAAAACCTATTTTGAACAAACACTGAAAAAAGTGTGTGAGTGTTGACACATTTCCAAAAGATCTCTGCTTATAGGATTCTCATGTCTTCTCTTACAGGCTCATTTACTGGGGATTCACCTCCATTTGGTATGGGTAAGTATAGACTATATTCATACACGCTCACGTGAACATGAAACGTTCAGTTTCAGTCAGATTAAAAGAATAATTCCTCTTATTAAAATGGCACAATGAAAAGGATTTAGTGGCGTTAAAGACATGAAAGTGTGAGAACCGTGTCAGTTGTGTGAGAGTTGGCAGCCCTGGTTGATTGACATCAACTTACCTCAAGATGCTTTTTCGGATTTAATGTTGAATCCATTGAAGCCGGTATAATTTAGACACGTCAAACCTTGAAGCAGATGGGCTACAGCAGCATAAAACCACACAAGGCAGGGTTGCAAGGTCTGCTAATCAAAACCAGGTCTCGATTCAATTTGCGTTTTTGTCTGTGGTCTTCCCCTCTGTTGGGGGCCCCTTCCATCAAAATAGCATTCTGGGGAGATAGCTTTAACCCACGGACAAAAAAAACTACCCGCGTCAATGGTGTATAAGTAGGCTAATTTCACGGTAAAACCAGACTTGCCAACTCTTGACACTGGGTACCACTCCTGTCAGCTAACAACAGGAAATTGACCATTCGCAGGGAGCTTGATAGACAGGCGATCTGACCAATCAGAATGCGGATATTATGTGCCGCCGCTGCTATCAGCCATCTTGCCCGACAGCTATGGCTGGTCTCCTTAGAAATCCATGTTAAAACGGGATAAAGATAGACTGAATTGAAACTTTTTCAATATAACTAAATATAAAAATGTGTGGAGGGTTAAGCTGTACTGTTGTTGGCTGCCACAGTAACGGTAATAAGCTAAAGGAATTCCTTTAAAGTACTTGCTGTGCGTACCAGAAAATCTGTCATGTCCAGCGCTATATGCATGGCTTGCAGCGCTTAAGTTAAAATACTGAGTGTAAAATAATAAAATAATGTTGTGTTCCGCTCCGCTGTTGAAATAAAATTCTTTCTGATGTTTATTCATGTTCATGAGGCTGCAGTTTATTAAAATGTCACAATTTAAAGGCTTTAGTCCAACTGAAATCATACCAGTGCAATTATTGTGTACCACAATTATTAGACAGACAGCAGGGTTGCCAACTTTTAAGTTCAGCTTGGAGTGAGATTTTTTTGGGTGGGGGGGACTTTGATCTCGATTCAATGATTCAATATCAATTCATATGTATATTGTACATATAAGGGGATAAAAATCTTTTGTTGAATGCAGTTGAATTACTTTTTCAGCAGCATTTTAAACTTTTCTTGTCTTAATTCAGTATTTGCTTGCATCCATTAATATTTACTTGTGTGTATACTTATACGAGTATCAATAAAAATGTAAAAAGGATGTAAGTTATTAATTTTCGGATTAAAAAAAAATAGTGTTTAATCACATCTAAATATTTATTCAAATGCAAAACTTAAAAATAAGTAAGCAGGCATGACCTGCAATACTCTTTTGAGAAATAGATACATGTATATTTATTAAAGAGCCATACAGGTACCTAGTGGGTAAAGCATGGCATTACAAATTAAAATTATTTTTTTCCCGACCATAAAATGACTCCAATTTGCTTTTTTGCATTGGAATTTAAAACAATTTATTCTATTTTAACCTAAATACTACACAAATTGTAATATAAGTAATAGAAATATTAGAAAAATATTTTAAGTGGCCATTAATGGACCATTATTGCACAAATAGTATCTAGTACCAAAAGATCTCCTCAAAATATTAAATAAATATAATTGAACTAAAATATAGAACATTTGTTTAACTAAAACATAGTTAAAGGGTTAGTTCACCCAAAAATGAAGATTTGGCTGCGTTTTCCTCTGAGTCTCGTGAAAACCAACGTTTGTTTACATGATCAAAGGAAGCAAAGTTTCCTTACTTTAGCAAAGGAAAACCAGTCTCCTCTTGGCTTATATCGAAATCTTCTGACATTCTTCTTTACAAATCCTCGTTTTGTACTTTTAATTATTGACCGTTGTTTTGTTTTGATCTCTCCCCTGCTTTTCCGCGTGCGTCACCTGCGTCATCATACGTCACTTCCCCAGAACTGCTTCTGTTTACAACAGTGAGCGCAAGCCGTGTGAGACACTTTTTTTTATGGATGGGCGATTTTTATTTAAGTTATTTTGGACTGAAGCAATGCAACACCCGCTGAGTGGCATTAAACAGCTTGAAAGATCAAAGACAATTTTTAATATAACTCCGACTGGATTCGTCTGAAAGAAAAAAGTCATATACACCTAGGATGCCTCGGGGGTGAGTAAAACGCAGCCTAATTTTCATTTTTGGGTGAACTAACCCTTTAAGGTGTATGGTCACATTATAAGTAAGGAATTCCTGAAGGTTAAATACAAGAAAAACATATTAATGTTGCCTCTCATCACTCTACAGAATAAAATGATACAGTAAATTTAATCGAAGTAATAATCAATGCATGATAATATAGTGTAATGTTTACCAAAAGTTGCTGCAAAGACCTGTGTAGTGAAGCTGTTGTCGTCTATCCTGCTTAAACCCATTCAAATATATTGACAGCGTTGGTTTGTTTGGAACTATTGAACGCCGGCGAGATCAGAGAGGCATGTTGCAACTGTTTTTCAATGGCTCTGGCTTTAACTGAGGCGCCACAACGAATTGCGCCACATTAAGTGCGCCAAAACTGTATTTATTGTTTGAATTTCGTATTAAAACTTACAAAATTTGAAATCTGAGACTTTGTTTCATATAACAAGCAGGGTTGCCAATTTGGCGTGAGATTTACATGGGCAGCGTCAGCGTGAGAGCGTGAGACAGAGCCTGAAAGAGTGTGTCTCACGCAGTTGGCAACCCTGCAGACAGGCGAAAAACACAATTGTAGCTCAGCCACGCCCAGCATTTATACAAACTGTGCGTATGCTCTGATATACTGGTGATGCGTGACATGTAATCCTTCCAAATTTCATTATTAAGCATAACATCTGACATATGGATGGAGACTGTTGTTTGACTATGCTAAACCCTGCTGTTGTAGTTCGATTACAGCGAAACATGTAAACGTTCTGTGAGGTCTGTTGAGTTATGTAGTCCATTCATAATTGTGTTTTGGTTTGCAGAAATCATCTAACAGGTAACCTGGGGTAAGTACTTGTATAATGCATACACACATTTATTCTGTTTAACGTACACATAAGCGCATGCACACACATATAAGTGTTTTAAAACAGAATTCACTGTTGTATACCCTGACATACGGTAATTGAAGAATGCAGTTTGTTGAAAATATATGCTGCTTATGGAAATTATTCACAGTGTACACATGCTTACATAGAAACCCCAATGTATAATTGCAATCAGTGACTGATTATTACGTGTGTGTGTGTTTACTATAGTCGGACAGATGTTGCTTCTGTGACACCATGGTTAGCCCCGATTGTATGGGAGGGAACCTTTGACTCCACATTGATTGACTCTATCTACAAACAACAAAACATCACCATAGCGACCACGGTCTTCGCTTTGGGAAAGTAACAAAGTTACATACTTCTCAGACTCTCAAAATACATACTTTTCTCTCTGTATTATTTTTCTCTTTTTATTTTTATTAACTTTTATGTTAATATAGTGTTCTTGGAAGATTTTGTAAAGTCCTTAGATTTTGTCCATTTAACTAGCAACAAAATTACTAAGGCAAGGTGTTTACTGAACATGCAAGCTACTTTACTAATAAAATGGTCTTTTGTTTATATTTTGTGTATACCACTGATTTAATATATAGATAAATATATATAGATATAAAAAGTTTTTATATGTTATGTATATGTTTGTTACTGTTATTTTGATCAATTTACTGCCCTTGCTTAATAAAGGTATTTATTTATTAAAAAAAAAATAATAATATATATATAGGTTCAGTAACTTACACACCTGAACTAGATACGTTTTAATATCTGTTCCTCTCCTTTTTTCCAGATATACACGTTTTCTCAAAGATTTCCTGGAATCAGCAGAGGAGCATTACTTTGTTGGATTTCGAGTGCATTACCACCTGTTTACAGATCAAGCGGAGGAAGTTCCTAATGTAAAACTAGGTCAAGAACGTTACCTGACAGTAAAGAAGGTTCCAAGTATGAACAGATGGCAGGACATCAGTATGAGCAGGATGGAAATACTGGAGAAACTAATAGAGAATGAACTGGCCAGTGAGGCCGACTATATTTTCTGCCTTGACGTAGATACAAAGTTCTATGGTCGTTGGGGTGTGGAGTCTTTGGGTCGTCTGGTTGGTGTGATACATCCTTGGTTCTTTAATGTTCCAAGGTTCATATTCACATATGAGCGTAGACCAGAGTCTCAAGCATACATTCCAGCTGGAGAGGGTGATTATTATTTTGGAAATACTGGTGAAACTAATAGAGAATGAACTGGCCAGTGAGGCCGACTATATTTTCTGCCTTGACGTAGATACAAAGTTCTATGGTCGTTGGGGTGTGGAGTCTTTGGGTCGTCTGGTTGGTGTGATACATCCTTGGTTCTTTAATGTTCCAAGGTTCATATTCACATATGAGCGTAGACCAGAGTCTCAAGCATACATTTACTGCTGCTGATTCTGGCTCTGCTGCTGTGGAGACACAAAACACGACAGAAATCCATCGCACGGACTGAGACTGAGGGAGTTCTGTAACGTGTGTGCATGTGTGTGTGTGTGGCCAAAAAAATTCACTTTTACTTAATCTTGATATGAATGGTGGGATTAAATTAATGACTGTGGACTACTGTGAGCATAGGCGGAAATCCCCCCTATCTGAGGGTTGTCCCCCCTAAAAATATGATTAAAACCCAGTCTGTGTATTGTAAATAACGTTTTATACTTTAAATAATTGTGTAAGTATAAAACAACACAAATGGGGCAAAAATGCGTTTTAAGTTTAGAAACATTTTGAGTCTCACCTCCCTTGCCTCACAGTGCTTTGGTCCAAAATATAGGTTCAGTAACTTACACACCTGAACTAGATACGTTTTAATATCTGTTCCTCTCCTTTTTTCCAGATATACACGTTTTCTCAAAGATTTCCTGGAATCAGCAGAGGAGCATTACTTTGTTGGATTTCGAGTGCATTACCACCTGTTTACAGATCAAGCGGAGGAAGTTCCTAATGTAAAACTAGGTCAAGAACGTTACCTGACAGTAAAGAAGGTTCCAAGTATGAACAGATGGCAGGACATCAGTATGAGCAGGATGGAAATACTGGAGAAACTAATAGAGAATGAACTGGCCAGTGAGGCCGACTATATTTTCTGCCTTGACGTAGATACAAAGTTCTATGGTCGTTGGGGTGTGGAGTCTTTGGGTCGTCTGGTTGGTGTGATACATCCTTGGTTCTTTAATGTTCCAAGGTTCATATTCACATATGAGCGTAGACCAGAGTCTCAAGCATACATTCCAGCTGGAGAGGGTGATTATTATTTTACTGGCGCTGCATTTGGTGGCTCACTGGAGGATGTACATCATCTCACCAAAACCTGCCGGGAGCAGATGAACATTGATATTGCAAACTCCATTGAGGCGATATGGCACGAGGAGTCTCACTTGAACAAGTATTTCCTTTATAATAAACCCAGTAAACTGCTTTCACCTGAATATCTGTGGCGGGACATTAGTATGAGTTCAGGCCAAGTGAAAATAATTCGTCTCTCTCATGTTGCTAAAAACAATGCTGAAGTTCGTCCAAACTTGTAGCACTTTTGTTAAAGTTTATATCCACATCAACATGTTGAGTTTCACAAGAAAAAATAATCTTATTCGTTAGTTTTGGGCCAAACTGGTTTTAACAGCCTTTGCTCTTGAAAAAAAAAGTTTGTAGATTGCAAATTTGATTAAAAAACATGATTCAAGTGAGTTATGTTTCCACAGAGACATCTAACTGAAAGACATTGTACAGTTTTGATTATGGATCATGAATGTCAAATCCTGTTTTTAGGATGTTGGTATCTTCTCTGTCTTTTTCTAGTAAAAAAAACAAAAACCGGTTTCACATCCTTAAAACAACATTAATTTACCTGAGAAGCAAATGGTATGAAAATAAAACCTGTTTCTTGACATCAAGTAAAATGTGTTTTCTCTCTGTTTGGAGAATTTGTTTACTTGTTTTAAGTATAAAATTCATTAAATGTTTTATGCTTATTATGCATTTACCTCAAAATACCGAAAACACACACTACTTTTACAATAAACCCAAACAGTAACACTTGTGATAATGTATTTCTTAAGCCATAAATGTATTAAAAATGTAGCAGCTACTTATATAATTATGGTACATTTGAGAAAACTTTAAACATAATAACACTCAAAACAATAGATCAAAAACAGTATTCAAAACATCCAATTTACTGAATATCCCACAAGCTGTAATTTTGCCTTTGTCTTGTGCTGTTTCACATGTGTTGCGTTTGTAATGTTTGCAGGAAAATATTTTAAATCTATCACAATATCTGGTGTGCACTGTAGTCCTGAAACTGTATTGCAACCTGCCACTCCTTGAATTCAGTCCTCCTATTTGCACACCTGTACTTCAGTTTGTACAGGGGTCTTTTAAACCATAATTTAAATATAGATCCGGCTTATCCAGAATTAGACACAATTATAAAAGTTGTTCAGCAAGATTTTCTACAAACATTTGCTCTCCATGTAGCAAGTAGTAATTTGGAAAAATGATATGGAACTGTAGTTTGGTCAAGGAACTACTGTCTATTACAACTACTGTCTGATCAGAATTAAGGATTCAACTGCATTGTGGCATAAATTGTTATTATTAATCTATTTATTTTGCATTTGGTTTGCTTAGGACATTAAGGAATGGTATTCCACTTTAAAACAACATTGACTGTGAGAAGTGCTATCCCAATAAAAATGGCTTGATTTGTGTTTGTTGTTCTGTTGTTGTAATGCATGCTTGGGCAGTCAGCCTCTTGTACACCTGTATGCATTAAAAGTGCTAAAAGACAAGGAAGTTAACCATGCTAATGCAGTCAAATTTCTACCTATGCTCATCCCTAAACATGATTTCTGATTGAAGATGAAGAAGACAATTTCTGGATGAAGAAGACAATAACTCCCATGATTCCACCACACTCAGTCACGGCGTCATCAAACTATGCCTTTGCTTCTTTGTTCGATGAGTCACTATGTTAGCAATAATAACATTACCTGCTTGATGGAAAGGGTTGCCAGGTTTTTTACAACAAAACCCTCCCAATTGCTACCCCAAACTAACCGCGTTTCGAGGGGTCCCCCGGTAAAAAAATCGCGTTACGGGGGCACTTCAAACCGCGTACATGAAAATCTGGCAAACTGGCAAACACAAACTGGCAGAGCGAACCTTCATGAAGAAACTTAAAGGGATGTTGTGTCGTGGAGCCAATGATCAGTTTCTTCAATGTAGTCAATGAAGCTCGAGAAGCAGAGTTCCAGATGTTAAAATAAGACTTTATTAAACAAAGTAACAAAGCCGAGATAACGGTTACCGCATCTGAAGTCTCTGTCTGTCCGCGCATCCGTTTTATACCTTTTTCTCTTACCAAAGTTGGTAGTTCCGGTTTTTTATTGGTTATGCCTGTCTGGTTTGCCACAATCTATTACTAACCCACCTGGTCCATTTTTTAATGGTGGAATTTGGCCAAATCAACCATTTTTTTTTAATTTTCACCTAATCTCCCATTGGTTGACGGTGGTCACATGAGACATTCATCAAATCTGTTTACGTGTTCCTGTCAACTTCTGGAAATCACCCAGAGTTAATTGGGTTATTTAAGTTCACTGGTACAATCCAATGGAAACCACCGGTACTGCCCAATGGAAAGGCCCTCATACATACAATCCTCATTAAGACATCCAGTATTGGGAATAATTCAGCATATTGATTAGTATATTGATTACTTTCATGATTATACATAATATTTTAAGTAAGATAATACCATATTGAGTAAATAACATAATAGGTAATAGAATTACACAATAATAGTTCACCCAAAAATGAAAATTTGATGTTTATCCGCTTACCCCCAGGGCATCCAAGATGTAGGTGACTTTGTTTCTTCAGTAGAACACAAACTAAGATTTTTAACTCAAAC